GTAGTACCTATAAGACAGTGGATAATGTTCTTAATGCTACCGTACATTGGATATGAAATGGTATATTAATTTTTAAAGTACTTTACCTTATTAGCTAAACGTAATTATCTCCTAGATTATAGGTATGTTGTTAGCAGCATTTTATGTAGGATCAAAAATGTTTGAAATTTTCGGGCGTGGAAAATCGTTAAAAAAAGCTGTAGTACATTTTGTGCGAAATGCGGTAATATAAATATCACTTTATATTTTTACTTATATTAATACTATATTAATTAATATTAAATTTGTTTTAATTCAGGACTATGAACATAAACCTACTAAAGCTGAAATTGAAAGTGCAGGTTCAATTTGTCCTATTTGTCATGACAACTACAATAATCCCATCGCTTTAGAATGTGGTCATATATTCTGTGATGATTGTGTAAACACATGGTTTAAAAGGGAGCAAACTTGTCCCATGTGTAGATCAAAGCAAAGTGAGGACAAAACATGGCAGGACGGCGCCACAAGTTTATTCTATCAAATATTCTAAATTAAATTTGTTTATATTAGTATTATATTTAGTTATAAAATAGCTATATATATATATATTTTATAAAGAACTGAAAGGAAAGGGATATTCATGTAACTTAGAAGATAACATTTTAAAATTGTTGTGATTATGTAGCTATAATTTAACATAGGAAATTGTAATATATAAATATATATATATATATGTATACATATACATTTAAGTTTTCAAATATATATATATACATATATATATATATATATATATATATTAGTGACAATATCAAATAAATTATTTTTAGGATAAATGGGTATTGTTTTATTTTGCCAGTAACAATAGATAGTGATGCTCATATATTTGTGTTCCCCGTTGTATTTTTCTCAAAATATTGGCCGTCCCGCCGTGTGGCATTTTTGTTTATTTCATTATGTTTGTGTTTGCTTACAATTTCTTCAAGAATTTCACCATCACCTTTAATAAGACGAGTTCGACCTGTAACTGGATCTTCAACGCGACGAATTATATTTTGTCGTTTTTTATATTCTTCTGGAGTTTCTGGACATTGATGTTTACTATTCATTAGTTCTAAAAATGTATTATATGAAACATTTTATATGTATATTACTTTACTCATAATACTTACCAATGGGAATGGCAAAATTGCCGTCAGAAGATAGTGGTGCATTGTCCTGTACATTAGTATGAACCTTCTCTATATTATTTTTCATTCGTTTCTTAAGTTTTTTCTTTTCTTTGTGATCCTTATGTTTTTTGCTTTTCTTTTTAGATTTTTTCTCTTTTTTATTTTTACCCATACTGGTTTAAATATAATATTTATTATTTAAATATTTCAAGGTCTCAGATTGTTTGAAACAGCCTAAATCAGCTGTTAGGGGATGCCATATTGAAAGAATTAAAACAATTGTTTAAACTGAATAAAAAAATGTACTAGTTTATCAATTCGTTTTGTATTATTATAAATTTAGGTAAAGTAAATTAAAATTTTCTAGGGATTTTTTGCACTGTACTTATGTAAATATTTATTTATTTATTTATTTATTGCACTTATTTATTATTTTTGGTTAAAAACTTTCAAGTTTTTTTTATTTATTTATTAATATCTACTCGAAATTCTGGTAAATACCAATATTCGTTTCCATATCAACATAATTTACTATTTCCCTCAATTAACCATCAATTTACTTGAACTCGCACACGGCTATAATAGTAAAAATTGAATATTTGCTAGTACTTCAACTAGTCATAATTTTTTCTTTCAGAATTGTAAAAAACAGCACTTAGTCTGGTTAAAACAATTCGCCTCACTTTTAATATATAGGTGTATTCTATTGACATGAATGCTACAATAGAACAACTTATTTATAGAATAACTTGACATCCATCACTGCCTTGAGTTATACTACGAGTAGCTCGTGAAACAAACCATCTGAAATTACAATTAATTAATTAATGTCTAATCATTGTGTATGATTGTAATAAGGAAATATGAACAAAAATAAATTATATAAAAAAACAATATTCACTTTAATTTTACTTTTTCCACATTTTTTTGCCATTTTGTTTTGCGTTTATTTTCCACTGATTTGACAGATTAATTTTACAACTTCAACCAGAAAGAATTGAAAATTGATGTTCAAATTTTTGTCATTTAATCTCTTTACGGAATACCCAGTTACCAAGCTACGCCTGAATACCTTTATAATAATTTAAATAAATTTTCTTTGTACAGGAGGTGTTTTATTCCAAATCACAATGATATCGTAATAAAGCTGCTAACGATTTTAATAAAAATTTCTATTGCATTGTTGCCCTTTAATATATTCGTGCACAAGTACAGGGTAATTAGATTTTAAAGTTATTATATTGTAAAATGATCAATAAATATTGTTATTCCTAAAGCTCAATTATTTGTCGTAGTGAAATATATTTCACAAATCATTCAAACTCTTATACCTATATTCCTATGGAAAACATTCAAAATTATATCATTCGAAGAGTTAAAATTGGTATATAACATAAGTATATTAAATTTTTATATTTATTTCTATTATTTTGTCTAAATTTTAAATTAATATTATTATAATGCTACATTTTACATAGGATTTAAATGCTTTGAAATCTTTGCATTGATAACATCACTTTGGCAAGCGGTACAATGTTTCAAGGTACAAAGTCGATATAAATTTTTCTTATATTTAAATTATATATATTTTATGGGTATCAACGTAAAGTTACAGAAAGAGTAGTTAAGATAGTTATAATAGACCAATAAAGGTAATCACATATTTTGTGATGGTTGTATAAATATATGACTTATAGTGGAATCAACCTATCCCTTGTGTAAAGTGGACAAAGTGGGGATATATGGTAAATTTAGAAAATGATTCAATAAATTTATCATTTCAATGTTTCTGAAAATTACTAATTAAGCGAAATTTGGATACGTGAGAAGTTTATATTGGATTCCGAGGAGAATTTTGTTTGTAATTTTAGCTGTCATGTTTCTATTTTAGCAGTCAATTCTTGTTGCTCTTAATGCAAAATGAAAATTTTTGACAACTTAAATAACAAACAAAACTCTCGTGTGAACCTAGTATTAGATTCATTTACTTAAGATAACATTACAAATAATTTAATCTTTACATACGAATAAATTATTTTTTTTTATTATAATATTGTATATTTGAAGAATTCAAAATGCATCAAAAAAAAAAAAAAATGAATGAGTTTGATCTTGAAAAATTATTTATTTTTTACTAAAAGTGGTAATAAGTCCTTTAACTAATTTTTAAAACTTTGTGAATAGTTTTTTAACATATTTTAATCTATAAAAAATACTAAAAGACAAACGCGAATATATGTAAGCTATATTTTAAATACTTACAACATATATAGTAATATTCAATTTTTGTTAACTGAAAGCAATTCCATAAATACATTTAAAAAACTTTTGGATAATTAAAGATGTAGAAGATAACATCTGCACACATTTTTTTTTAACGGTTAATTTCACTATTCACATATTTATTTTACGCAAAAGCAATACATTTATGATTATTATTGAGAGAATCGTGTACGTAGAGCGTGATATTAATATGTAGAGTGTTCAATATACTTTTTAAAATTTAAAATGCTTTCAGTTTGAAAAAATAATCAATGAAGAACTATTGACAGAAATTAAAAATTAAATAAATTAATAAGTTTTATTTTAATTATTTTTTTTTCCTTTTATATACAGCTAACAAATAATCAGTTGCGTTGGCAGTTGAATTTTACACCTTTACCAAATTAGAATTAAAAAGGGCAGTCAGACCTTTGTCATTTTGTCACTTTACCGAGTACGAAGTTACTTTATTATTTTATTATTTATTTTATTTTATTATGTTATGTTATTTTATGCCGTTAATTTTCATATAGACAACGTATAAATGTGTTAAATTATAATACTAAGCTTTAATTATTTATGTACTCAATATGATACTTTCTGCTGTTGGATATCAACCTTATACATTTATTAATTGGTGCACTGCAACACTTGCTCTTTTCTCCGATTTGTTTGTTGTCAGTAGTAAGGTGTCAGTGTAGACGCGAACAAGTACATAGTATAATTAAATTGTGATTGAGTGCAGTGAGAACAAATTGAAATCGGTTCGGTTGGTATATCTTTGTGCAGAAATAAAATTATTAAATTACGGAGAAAGGTTAAATTAGTTTACTTGTGAATTATAATATAAAACATATTTTAATTGGGTTTGGGAAATAGCATAAAAAAATATAAATTGGTTAAGGAGAAAAGTGCCACCTTTTTGATTAAATTATGAAGCGAAGGGTAAATGTCGGTGAAAGAAAGAACAAAAAATTTATTGTTGCTGCAAGCAGAGTTGTATTATTTCAGTATGTATTAAGTTTTTTTTTTTAATAAAGTTAATCCAATATAATGTGCCTAAATAATTAATTACTAACCTTCGGAAATTCTTTAGTATTGTATATAAGTTTGTATTTTACCACACATAATATTGCATGCAGTATTGCAAATTATATATACTCTTCAGTTATATTGACTGCAACTATAAATTTGAAATGTCTATTAATCATGTGCTTATCTGAATAATTAAATAGTGGTGAATATTAAAATTTTATCAAATTAAATTATATATGTTTGTAATATTTGTATATATAATATATATTTTATATTAGGTGATATTTAAGGTAACTCGTAAAAATAACAGATGTAAATCATGCAACTCTGTTAATGCGCGTTTTTTACTTCAACGATGTATATATTTGTACTGCTCATTTTAATGACTTATGTACAAGAAACAACAGTAAGGAGTGCGATGGCAATACTCCCTTTCCCGGTTTGCAAATTCAATTCATTTTGGCATCTCTCTTTTCTCCATTTTTTTTTTGTCATCGCGGCTGTTCATTCTAGTTGATTCCGTTCTGTGTTAATTCTCCTTCCTTGTAATTGTAAGATTTAATTAAATATATGTGAAGTCGTGAATAAATCCTTATTAAACTAGTAAATAAAATGTAAGATTAAACTTAAAAAATGAAGCTTGATTTAAAATTGATTGTGATTTGCTTTAATTTTGTGACTATGCAAATCCTTTTACCAATGTCATTGTTCTTTGTATGTGGAGTGGTACTCGATATAAAAAGGTTTCCTTGTTAATTACCTACCTACTTTTTTTTAACATTTTTTTTTGTGATTTCTGCCGCAAATTATGCCAGCGATAATAATGTAAACTTGAAATAATTTTTTTTGAAATATCAATGTGATTGCATCGGTATCTTCGCAACTTCAATAGCTATTTAAGGATCTATATTTAACATCAAGGCGTGGTATATTCATTTTCATATTATTTTATAAAAAATTAACTTTTTTTTTTAAAAATTTTGCCATATATATTTTATATATATATACGTAACCAATATCTTTCACAGTATAATGTATGTTCGTAGATTCTCTGAAGACTGAAATTATGTCACAAAACTCTAAATTACGAAGGGCTGCGTCAAAGATTTCAGTCCATAGCCCATCATTAAATTTGGCTACTAATTCGAATCCACATATATAACTAGACCAATACTAAACAACATAAATTTGTAACCATAGCCAAAGTAAAATTGGCTATAATTTTCATACATCTTAATTGATTTACTAATTAAAGTTACATATTTCTCTTAT